GTGAAATGTTTTTTTCTTTATAAATTTATAAATAAATGTTTTAATTTTGATTTGAAAACTTACAGAAAATGAGATTTTCATTCTAATCCTCTTTTAAATATTGTTTTTTGATTTTTTTTAACTGAACATACATTTCATGAATATTTAGAATAACATGTAAATTGATTTCATTTTCTTTCTGTTCATATTAATGAAACAATGACAATAAAAGAAACATAATTTGAAGTCTAAATTGAATTAAAACTTTCTTCAGCAAAGGGGTTTTTTTAGATAGTAATTTGAAATAACTTTTTTTTTGAATGTTCGAGAAGAAACTTGCTGTTTTCTGTAAAAAAGGAGGAGAGAGTTTGTCTCTCTTTTTAAGCCAGTTCTTTTATTTAAACTATTAGAGCTTATTTTATATAATGAAAATGAAACAAAATAACACTTTAGGGCCTTCCAGAAGAAAAGAGACTGTTTAAGAACAGTGTAATTAATTTAATTAATCTATGATATAACATATTTTGATATAATGATTCATTTATAGTAAGATTTCCACCTGTCTTCTGGTATGGCAAATAGGTTTTGTGGAGGAGAGAAGGGGAAGGTGTTGGCCAAAGTTACACCTGTTTAGATCCAAGATCTTACTACTGTGAAAGCCATCTTGTTCAATGTAATTGGATGTATAAACAGAGAATGGCGGGAAGAGGTGTGGGCAGCAGCAGCCATTGGCTTTCCAACTCATTGACCTGCTGATCTTTCTTTCATTTGAAATAATGTTTGAAGTCACTTTACAGCATGAATAGGAAAAAATAAGGGATTTTGCACCAAGCCTAAACATCACCACACTGAAGAAGCGGCAAACTAGAATCATTATCAATGTCACAGAGTTAAGCTCAGATGAATTTAAATGCCTTTGTTGGTAAGCTTGTGCAGCATCTGCTCCTATTCTTTCTTACTAGAGCTATATGAATATGCTGAAGGATCTTCAAATAGTTGATATGAAGTGACGGACATTTAAGTTTTTCAGTTGCTGAGGCATCTGTATTCTACAAATGAACAAAAGAATCATGAAAGACAGATTTTGCTTGGAATATGGTACAGGAGTTTGTTGTAGGTTGATTTATTTTTTTTTTAAATGTAATTAGCTATTAAAATTCTAATGACTTTCCCACTGAATTTTTGATACATTCTTTTTTCCACTGCAGCGGAGTGTTTACTGTAGCAGTTAAGGAAATAATCTCTAGCACCCTGCTTGAAAGTATTTTGTAGGAGTAATGTTAAATCCCTAGTGCTTAGTAAGTTAGACCAAACAGCATCTTTATTCCCACATCATTGTACATGAGCATGAAATTAAAAAAAGAAGTCTGAACTGACTGCTTCTAAAAGTAGCAGGCTGTAAGGTTGTTTTAGGTGTATAGTATCTTTCTTGATAGCACACCAAATCCTTCTGAGGATCTTTATTCCCTACAGAGTATGGTTTTCTTCTGTTTACTTTCTTTATGTGTCGTGTCATAAGAAGTCCTGTACAGAATTGTCTTCTAAATAATTCTTTTTGACCTGTACTTCAAATGCAGTTTTGGATCACTAATGGAAGACTTGGTTCCTCCGTAATTTTTTTTTCCTTTCAAAATCAGCAAAAGATAATCCTGAAGCTGTACCAAGTACTTCCTCACAAAGTACTTGGTTATGAAAACTACTTTTGGTTTTGATATTTTCTGAAAGGGTACTTTTTTTTTTTGATAATTGTTAATTAAATCCTTTTGGGGAGCTTCTCTCCAAATAGTATAAATATACCAAACCATTAACATGTTGTAGTGATCCTGAGTGGAAGATCATTGTACATAAAGGAGCTAAGTGATCCACATAACAGTTAACTTGAGTAGGTACAGGCCTGTGCTGTGCTATGCATATCTCTTGGCTACAGGATGAACTTAGCCAGCTAATTGTAACAGAGGAGTCTGTAGGCAGCTTCCACTTGGTACCAGTGATTATGCCACCAGCGTGTCCTTGTCTTTAAATAAAACTACAGCACCAAGTTCTCACATGAACATCCTTTTTATCTGATGGTAGAAATGATTAGCAGAATTGTTTTATTTTAACAAGATCCTATAAGAGCTAACCCTCCCACAGACTGCATCTGTACAGTGTGCTGCATCCTGACTGTAGGTCAGTTCCAGTGGTGCATAACTCGGGGTTCCCAGTGTCTGAAGGGATGTAAGGTTATTTATAATAACCTCTTTTCCCCTATAGCATTAGCTCCAAGAACTGGCAGTGATACTTTATGAAGTTTGAGTGTCTTTCATAGTGGGATCATAATGAACCAGCACCACCTGGTGCAAAGCATATGCACATGAAAATTTTACTTCTGCATATTAATGAACAATCTTAGAAAATTCTGTAAGAATTTCACTCTTCTATGACATACGAAGTCACAGTTTGATAAAATTCTCTTGTGTGTTAGCTGGGTTGTTTTATCCAAGCAAGTACTTAAAAATTAGTCTTTCCTGGAATTAATTTTTCTTTGAGATTATAATTTGATATATTTACTTTGCATTAATGTAGGATTCCATCTGAATGCACTTCCTATTTAATAATTTGCCCCATGGTTATTTTATTTCTTCTACTTGGTTCTCAAACAGTTTATCTCTAATATTTAGTCTGAAGCATAATATTTACAGCACCATAGAACAATTTTATAAGCTTACAACTAATCTATTTGATATAAATGAGGAGTTCCACAACAAAATTTATACGTGTAGCTGATAATAGCTGCTTATTTGCAGATTTGATTTAACTGTACTTCTTGGGGGACCAATTGAAGTTACTTGAGCTGATGTTGATAAATTATAATCTGACATTAGCAGCAGTGTCTGTAGCTACTTTTTCCCTGTCACTAATTACAATTTTGCAATCACACTTAATATGAAACAAAAGTAGATGGGTAAAGACAATTGAGGACATATAAACTCAAGTAAAATAAGTGCTAGTAAAAGAAAACCATTTTGAAGATTCATAGTGTCTTCAACACTACATGGAGTGGTTACCACTGTTTCAGTTTAAGATCAGGAATTTTTTTTTCCAGTTTGAATGGTTTTTGGATTTGTGGCCTGGCTTTCGGTCAATAACTTGCTTGGTTACATCAACCTGACTGATCTCTGAAGGTACTTAGGAGTGAATAAGGTTACCTTAAGAAATTTAATAATTTTCAATATACAACAGACTCTTTCTTAGTCAGTGTGGTTTTGGCAGTTGTTGTCCATAGGGTATATAACATACCCCAAAATACTGTCTCAAGGTTAAACCCCTTAGTAACACTGATTGAAGTGTTACATCTACAGGATAGTGTCATCTAATTTGTGAGAGCAAAAGATTCAGCATTCTTGCCCACTAAATGAGACCCTGGTATTCCAAATGTATAGAGAATCTATCATTTTCTGTCTTGAACTTTTATTTAGTTTATAGTAGTCTTTCTGTAAAGGTAGAGACCTTTATATATAAAATATACACAATTTGTGCCCCCACTTTCATGCTCTTGGTCTTGTAGAATGAAGCTCTTAATGAGGACAGACTTGAAATAAAGGTCTGAAATGTGTAACCTGGTGAAACATTTTATGCTTCTGTTCTTTTAAATTATTTCTATGTCAAGTACTTGTGTCTCCAAATTCTTCTTTTGGTAATGAAGATAGTGGACTGTTCTGAACATCGTTATGTTACGATCATAACAGTTCAGTGTTACAAACACTTTTTTATCTTTTAATGGTAGCATTTTTGAAAGAAAAGAACATTTCTTTATATTGTAATGTTAAGATGTTTATGTGTTTGTAATATGTAGGAGATTTTTGATCATCTCAGATTCTGTAAGATATCAGTGGGTTTTTTTCAACTTAGCTTCAAACTTGGTAAACAATATACTCTCTGGATGTATAGTGAATAAAAGCTATATAATTTGTCCTATATGAGAAAGCATGATCCCAGTCTATCTGAAAACCTTGCCAGTGGCTGAAGTCCAAAGTGTTCCCCAAATTTGGGAGCTTGGACTTGAGACAGTAACAAAACCAAAGAAAATTAAGCAATAGGTATTTTTGCAATAGCAGTTGGAAGACACAACAGAGAAGGCATGACTCGGTGCTTGAATATTTGTGACCAGATTGCCCTCCTTAAAAAAGGATCAACTTCTATGTGTTCATGCTTCACAAAGTGCATGTTATCTGGAGAACAAAGTACTGGTAATTGGGTATAGACAGTGATTTAAGACATTTGGTTATTGGTATGTCAGTAACTTTTTTTAGACAATATCTCAGGTTGAGAGTTTTCAAATGTCTCTATTCTTCCTATGGTTTTTTATGATGCTTAAGAACAAAAGTCTGTTGTTTAAATGCTGTGTTAAATGTTTAAGATATGGAATGCTTCAAATAAGAAATTCTAATAAATAAACTATATTTACTTTCTTAATAATCAGTTTTATTTTAAATAAAAACATTAGAAATATATATATATAAAAAAATCTAACCTTGTGAGGCATAGGCATTTACAATACAATTGTAGAAATAGTGATCTATGCTGCAGGAATTGAGCTGTTAGCTTTCAATTATATTGCATTTGTGCCAAATAATTTAATATGACCTTAAAGAAAATTAATAACCTTTTCCTTCTTATGTGCTTAAACATTGCAACTTTATGAATGTGTTTATTTTTATAGGTGTAACAATTTACATGTTTAGGTTCCTAATCTGTGAGGTTAAGTTTAGTTTACCTGCTTTCCCTTCCATTGTGATGAATACTCTTACATGCCGTACCAGAGTGTATGAATAATAGTTACAACATTCTAGGTGAGATTTTTCATGTTTTCAGCAATGGCTCTGGAAGAGAATTATGTCTGGGAAATTCTACATGTGAATGGATGTTTTCTGTTTTGTCCTCTACTCAGTCATTTCAAATAGTCATCATATCTACCTAGAATAAAATTAGGTATCTCAGGGGAGAAGAGTCTAATTCATCTTGCTCTGTTTTTAAATCAGGTGAAGTACCACCAATGAGATGGATAGTGAATTTTGACCGAGATCTTCTAGATGGTCTGGTATTGGCAGCACAGCTGGCAGCTTATTGTCCTTATTTGGTAAGGAGTTTTCTTAATATTGTACAAGTTTTATACAGTTTATTAATGTAAGTGAGTTTATTCAGGCTTTATTTTCCTTTAGAACAGTTGGCTTATGTGTTTTTTAAAAAGAAAAAAACCCCAACAATATTTAGCAAGTCTAGAGTGATGATTTCAGTATTAATTTTTGTTTTCTCTGGTTATATTCGTAATATGGAATTTTAGTTCAAAAATTAGATCTTATGGATTACCGAAAGAGTGAAAATACAAACATAGTAATGTTACTTACTGGAAGATCAAGAGTTTGATTTCTGTCTCATCTAGATTGCTACTCACTTTGTAAGGATGTATACTAATCCAAGAACTCCTGAACAGTTTCTGCACAACAATTTGATACTTGTGAATGCTATGCATGCTGTCAGTCTGGCTATAGGCATAAAGGTAAATGATTTTTTACTAGCAGTTCTTATATACTTCTAATATTATTTTTTTTTATTTTTATGATAGTAATATTGTACATCATATTAAGGTGAGATCTGAGTGATGCAGTTTTGTTTCATGATGTGCTACTGTATGATAGAAACCAAAATACTGCTTCATATAAATACACTTCATTATGAGCAATTTCCATAATTCCATGCTTTGTAGAATAGCATATATACAATTAGCTGAACATAAGATTAATTTACTTCAGATTCTAGCATTGTAAATCACACAATGAAAACCTGAGTGGAATTTATTATTAACATCCTAAGCCAATTTAGAAAAAAATATATTTAAGAACAAACATCATGCACTTAAACATAAAAAGGAGTGGTAAAAAAATATATGAGTGTCTGGTGACACTTATGTGCATCTATCTAAACACGAAGGCCCGTGAGGGTTCTGTCCCAGATTTGGTGCACGCAGAAGTCAGTAGCTTTGGACTGCGGGTGAGAGTAACACTGTAAGCCGTCAGCTTCTGATGACCTTTCTTGGGAGGAATATGACGTTGTTGATGTTAGTTTCTTCTTCAATCTAGGATCCACTTGGGATCATTTTTATATGTTTAGTAACATGCTTTACATTTCTTGTCTTTTCTTCATTGGCCTACAGCTCCAAATTTTCTATATATGGTGCCCTATATACGTTAGATATTATTTCTTTGTTCTTTTTGTTGATCAATTAAAAAAGTTGCTGTCACAGCTAAACCAAGTAAAGCAAAGCTCGACAAGCTGGTCAACAAGCCTTCAGACAGAGAAGGCTTGTCCAGCCCCAGTGCTGAGGCCCTGTAAATTCCATACAAACCTTATGGCCTGTTAATAGCAACGGCAAGGTTGTATTACAAGGTTACATGCTCACAGGGATTCATGCTCTTATCTTCTATGTTCTCGTTGCGTGTGTTAGTTACCAAAATATTACCTATGTAAAATAGCAGATTCCCTCTTATTTTACTTTTTTCCTTTTTTCCCTGAGTCGTTAAAGTCCTGTCCTTACCAAAACTAGTAAAAACTGGTTAAGGTCACACCTTTCTCTTAGGAATTTGCAGAGTGATGCAGCTTCCATGATGAGCAAAGCGAATGTCAGGGACTGTGATGGGCTGGGGTGGGTCTGGAGCATGTTGGGCTGGCCAGAAGAGGATATGGTAGAATAGACATAGTATTTGTCGGTGTATTAGGAAACATTCCAAAGGAATTGACAGTATTAGAAATCAGCGTTAGAGGTGTGGTGTGAACAAAGTGATATGAAACGAAGCTCAATTACAACTTTTTTCCCCTTTCCATTCAATTATGTTATGATTACAGGGGAAAATTAACACTGCTATTTCCAGTTGTATCAGCTACTTTCTTGCTCCCACATCCTGGTACAGATATGCCGTTATAAATGGCTTTGCTATGACAGGCTAAACCAAGAAAATCTACTGTTTTGTATACTTGTGACTGACAGGAAGGTATAGTAGGTATAATCCTCAAAATGAAGCCATATTTTGCCTCAGCATTTAATAAGAAAAATAGGCTGTTCAGCACATGAAGGCAGAGGCTGGATGCTAGATGTGCAAAAGGAGTTAACCACATTAGAGGTGGAAGCAGAACTCCAGGACATTCTCCTTAATGCACTTAGTGTGTTTTAAGACTACAATGTCTACAATACTATGATATTATTAGTTCAGTGTATTTTTGAGATATTGGTGTTTTCATAGATGGGAAAGTCCATCTCCATACAGACTAGGAATTCAAACAAAGCTATATAATCAGTCAACAGTAGAAAAAGGAACAGATCTTGGATCTTTGAGGTCTGTATTTTAATTCTAGCTAAGGCATGTTCTACAAACAAAATATTCTGGAAAAGAAAAAAAAAAAAGAAGGTAAAGGCTACTTTTTTACATAGATTTATTTGAGTTCATATGTGCTTTTCTAAGACTACTGTATAAATTTCTTAAGCTTCTTGTTCTTCAGCAATAAAAGCAGCAAAATACATGAATCTTGTTACTGAACTGTCCTAATTTGGGACTTTTCTGATAGTCTTGTCTCTTAAATTTAGCAGGCCAAAATGTTCCAACTGCATTGGCAAAGTTCTTGACTATCAGGCAATCACTGCTTCTGAACTTTCAGGACAGCTTTGCATTAATTAATGCAAGGATGGTGGTGACAGCAAGCCGAGACACATATTAGGTCTGGAATAGATGGCACTTTCAATTACTTTAAAAATCTAAGATTCTATAATAATAAAGAAGTTTAACTGTCTGGAAGACTGCAGCTGCAAGTTTAAATGATACCTCTAACAGAGTTCAAGGCTTTAAAATCCTCTTAAGGATTAAGATACAGGCTTAAGATGGAGTACTTTGGGCAAGAAATTCTTTGTTTCCACTTTCTAATCATGACTGACAGTTCAACCCTGGAGTATTAATGGTGTCTTTCTATGTAGTTTTCCTTTGTGTTTGATATTTTTAAGTTCTAAAGTGCTTTGATTTGAAGAAGATCCAATTGAAAGCCCAAAATAAAATATTGCAAGATAAGATGATGGATAACAGCTATATGGAGGGAATGTACGTGACCAGGATAGATTAGGAGAGAAGATGGACTGATTGGGGACAGCCAGTAGAGCAACTCAATTTGCTACTGACTGATTTAAAATTGGGGCCAACAATGCTGACATTTATATTTGACACCAAGTAAAAGGGAGGATATTTTCAAACAAGCTATAGAAGATGTTGTGAGTAAAGTTGGAGAGTGTTAAGAAGCTGAAAATGAATGTGGCTGTTCTGTTGAAATGAAGGGAGGAATTCAGCATTGTTGTGGAGTAGGAAGCAGTGAAACTGGGCAATAACATGGCCATATGAGCAAGAAAGGGAGGTAGATGATAACCCCAAGACTTGAGTCTGAAGTGAGGGAGAGAAAGAAGATTCTGTCAGCAGCCAATGGAGAAAAGGAAAGAAAGGCAGCAATATAGAATTTTTTAAATTTCCTGTATATGTAAGAATTTCCAGTATATGTAAGACTTTTTTCTTGAGGTACTCTACAGATTATTGTATGCACTTAGAAAGATAACTTCCTGGCTGTCACTTAATGTTTCAGTCATACTTTTATTGTAATCATCTCTAAAGATGATTAAGACTTTTTTGTCTTCACTTTCCTGTGCTTTAATAAGGAGCTATTAGCTTGGTAAATATGGCAACATCTCAACAAAAGTAACTTTAAGGAAAAGGATTTCTTTCTTAATTCTTAGTTATTTGACTAAAATTTGTATGATATTGCAAATAGACAGATACGGAGCTCTATCTGCATATCCACCAATCTATAATGTAAATGCAAATACCTTGGTTTGCCTGAGATAGGAATCTAATATTGATATGCAGTCTTAAATTCAGAAAATAGAAGAGAGAAAAAATTAAAGATCACTTTTAGTTGTTACAATAGCATTGTCTTCTCATATGTATCTCTCCTAGACTATTCTGGAAAAACACTTGAAGAGAGTTGTAAAGGACTGAATCCTCCTAAGCATCTGTATAAAAGTGGATGCAACAACTATTTGCTTTGATCTGTAAGCCTGATAAATCAGAGCATTAGATAAAGAACATTTGGCTGGAATTCAGCTTTATTGGTAATGTGCAAGGCATTTGATCCTGTCCCACATAACATACTTGTCTCTGAAATGGTGAAACGTGGATTTAATGGATGGACCACTCAGTGGATAAGGAGTTGACTGGATGGTCGCACTCAAAGAGTTGCAGTCAATGGCTCAATGCCCACATGGACACCAGTGATCAGTGGTGTCCCTCACGGGTCTGTACTGAGCCCAGTATTATTTAATGTCTTTGTCAGGGACATGGACAATGAGATTGAGTGCACATTCAGCAAGCTTGTGGATGACACCAAGCTTAGTGGTGTGGTTGGTACTCTAGAGGCAAGGGATGCCATCCAGAGGGACCTTGACAGGCTAGAGAAGTGCGTGTGTGCGAACCTCATGAAGTTCAACAAGGCCAAGTGCAACGTCCTGCACATGGGTCAGGGGAATCCCAAATATGGATACAGGCTGGGTGATGAGTGGATTGAGAGCAGCCCTGTGGAGAAGGAATTGGGGGTACTGATAGATGAAAAAGTGAATATGAGCTAGTAATGTGCGCTTGCAACCCAGAAGATCAATCACATCCTGGGCTGCATCAAAAGTGTGGCCAGCAGGTCGAGGTAGGTGATTCTCCCCCTCTACTCCACTCTTGTGAGACCCCACCTGGAGTACTGCATTCAGCTTTGGGGCTCCCAACATAAGAACAACATCGACCTGTTGGAGCAAGTCCAGAGGAGGGCCACGAAAATGATCAGAGGGCTGGAGTACCTCTCCTGTGAAGACAGACTGAGAGAGCTGGGGTTGTTCAGCCTGGAGAAGAGAAGGCTCAGGAGACCTTATAGCAGCCTTCCAGTGCCTGAAGGGGGCCTACAAGAAAGCTGGAGAGGGACTTTTTACAAGGGCACATAGAGATAGGACAAGGGGTAATGGATTTAAACTGAAAGAGGGTAGGTTTAAATTAGATATAAGGAAGAAATTCTTTACTGTGAGGGTGGTGAGGCACTGGAAGAGGTTGCCCAGAGAAGTTGTGGATACCCCCTCCCTGAAAGTGCTCAAGGCCAGGTTGGATGGGGCTTTGAACAACCTTGTCTAGTGGAAGGTGTCCCTGCCCATGTCAGGGGGGTTGGAACCAGATGATCTTTAAGATCCCTTCCAACCCAAACCATTCTATGATTCGATTCTATGATTCACTGGCATGATGAGATCTATGGAAACACATGCAACTGCAACAGACAAGTGATCTGTTCAGGCATGTCTATTTTTAAGTTCACCTAGATTATACCCTTGGGCACCCTGTAAACATGTTGTGGAAATGAAAGAAAAGGAAACGTATGTTTCAAAATCAGTGGTGCTTTTTATTTCCACCAGAGCAACTGAAAATAACTTGGACCTGATAA